TGAACTAGCCTCCTAGTAATAACTGTCTTTGATTACTACTAGTTCACTACTTACTTATTAGTTTTGTGTACGTGTCGAAACTAATATGCTTACCGCGGGATAACTAGTCATTCAGTATGTTTCACTTAATCGATACATGTATGGTAGATACTTGTACACATCATTTCAGAATCGATAACCAGCGAATATTTTTCATAAGAAAACATAGGGTTTTCTTGGGATAACGTAACTTTTCATAAACAAGGTTGTATGGTACATCTAACGAGAAATCAAATCATATTTTTATAAGGAAACTTGCAGGATTTTCTTAATTCAAATTGTGTAACAAGGGGATAACCAAACTACTTTTATAAGAAAATATGGGATTTTCTTGGATATCAACCGTTCATGAAACTAAAGGAAACTGAATCTTTTTCCAGAAAACAAACCGCTTATGAACTCACCAGCTTTATGCTGATATTTTAAAAACTGCTTGTATTCTCAGGGCATCCATAGACAGGTACTCCTACTAACTTTTTGGAGAAGACGGAGCATATAGAAGACTCGTCTTTACTTTTGTTCTAACTAATGTATCTAAGAAAACTTGTAGTGCTTTATTTTCAAACAAATGTAAAACTTTCTCATGTAATGTAATGGTTGTGTTTACTATGCTTGCTATGTACATTGGTTGTGATACTCTACATGACGTCACTCCGCCCCGGAACGTTTCCGCCATCGGTTTCGGGGTGTGACAAAACCCTAATAAACCAAGTAAGTATTTCTAATTTTCTATGGTTTTCGAATTTATAGTTGTAATCGATAAGCAAAATTCAAAATTGCTATGGTTTATAAGTTAAAATTGCTATGAAGTTATTGGATATTTGGATAATTTGGTAAAATTGCTATGTTATTATAAAAATTATTGTTTGATTAGTTGTAATTTCTATGATTTTTATTGAATTGATTGTTTGATATGTTAAATTGCTATGTTTTAGGTTTACATGTTATTGTTTGATTAGGTATTAAGTGAAAATTCTATGTTTTATTGAAGTTATTTTTTGATTAGGTTAAATTGTTATGTTTTTATAGGTTAAAGTAAGTGAGTTTTTTTTTTTTTACCAAAAGACCAAGACCTAATCCTAATGAAAGTGGTGAATGATGTTCCCAAACACCAATCACCAATCAATCAATCTCTTTCGTTTCTAATTCTAATGCAACCCCACAAACACTAATTACTAATTAATCAACCCCTTCGGTTTCTAATGCAATTCCACAAACATCATGCTCTAATGAACTTAATGATAATGTTGATTTGAAAGATCTTCCAAAGGACCCGACAGATAGGCCAAAAGTTACAGGTTACAAATCAAATGTAAAAGATGATGTAAGAAGAGCGTATTTGCTTCAAGGACCTTGTCAAATAAGGTTACATAAGTTTTCAAAAAAAGAAAATAGGTAATAGATTTAAAAGATTCGTTCCTTCATGGTTTGATGATTTTGACTGGTTGGAATATAGTGTGAAAAAGAATAGAGCATATTGTTTATATTGTTATGTGTTTGGAGACCTCATGAATCAACGATGAGGGAGAGATGCATTTGTTTCCCAAGGTTTTGATACTTGGAATAAAAAAAGATGCATTTCAGACTCATGTGGGTAGTGTTGATAGTTTGCACAACAAAGCAAGAGAAAAATGTGATTTTTTATTGAGAGAAAAACAAGCTATTAATGTAGTCTTGAGGTGGCAAACCGAAGCGGAGGACCATAAATATAAAGATCGATTACGTGTTTCTATTATTGTTGTTAGACTTTTATTGAAAACCGGTTTACCGTTTCGTGGTCATGATGAGTCAGTTAACTCGGGAAATAGAGGGCTTTACATTGAAGTGTTAAAAGCCATTCGGGAGACTAATGAAGATATTTTCAACAATACTTTAGAAAATGCTCCTAAAAATAATCAACTTATTTCCCCTAAAATTCAAAAAGAACTTGTACAATATTTTGCACAAGAAGTCCTTTTGAGTATTCGCCAAGAGATTGGTGTAGATGTATTTGCTTTATTGGTCGACGAATCTAGTGATGTCTCGAGAAAGGAACAAATGGCTATTGTTTTGCGATGTGTTGATAGTCTTGGCTTCGTGAAAGAAAGATTCATAGGCATTGTGCACGTGAAAGATACATACTCTTTCACACTAAAAAAATGTCATAAATGAAGTACTTACAAGCAACAAGTTGAGTTTTAGTCAGATAACTTTTTTTTATTTCAATCTAATTTAATTCGCTTTATGTGTAATATTATATATAATATTTTTTAATTTTTTTAATAGATAAGAGGACAAAGTTATGATGGGGCTAGCAATATGCGAGGGGAATTCAATGGTTTGAAAGCTTTGATATTACAAGAGAATGACACAACTTTTTATATAAATTGCTTTGCACACCAACTTAAATTAGTGGTTGTGGCTGTGGCTGTAGCAAAGAAGCATGACAGTGTTAGTGACTTTTTTGAACAAATTTCATTGGTGGTTAATATTGTTTGTGCCTCGTGTAAAAGAAAAGACTTACTACGGGAACAAACAAGAGAATGGGTGCAAAAAGGCTTGTGTAGTGGTGAACTTGAAACCGGGAGAGGGTTAAATCAAGAGACTACACTTGTTCGAGCGGGAGATACAAGATGGGGTTCACATTTCAACACACTCACAAGTTTAATGAAGTTGTTTGCGGATGTTCTTGTAGTTTTAGAATTTGTGAAAGTGGATGGAGGATCATTGGTAAACCGTCAACAAGCGTCCGAAATCTTAGCATATTTTAAATCTTATGAGTTCGTGTTTTACTTATATATGATGTATGATATTTTACACCTCACTGGTACATTATCAAAGCAACTTCAAAAAAAAAGATCTAGACATTTTAGAAGCAACTTCGATGGTTAGAGGGACAATGGACACATTGCAATCTTTAAGAGACACGGGGTTTGCTAGCATTTTGCCAAAGATATCCTTTTTTGTCAAACACACAATATTGCTACTTTGGAAATGGAGAATTTTTATGTTGGTGCAAGAAACCGTACGACCACAAAGACCAATAAATTTCATTTTGAGGTTGAAATCTTCAACACAGTGGTGGATATGCAACTTACAGAATATCGAGATCGATTTAGTGAAACAAGCACCCAGTTATTAGAATACATGGGTGCTTTGACCCCTTGTGATTCATTTGCACAATTTGACAAATCAAAGTTGTTGAAGTTTGCTAAGTTGTACAAGTATGACTTTGATGATTCAGATTTGATAGATCTTGAAGGACAACTTAAGATATTTTATCACTCTTGCATCAAAGATGAGCGTTTTACCACTTTGAAAGGAATTTCCTAGCTTTCTCGTTTGATGGTTAGTACGGGGAAACATCGGTCTTATCATTTGGTTTATAAGCTTTTGATGTTGGCTTTAATTTTACCCATAGCGACCGCAAGTGTGGAAAGATGTTTTTCGAAGATGAAGCTCTTGAAGACCGACTTGCGCAACAAAATTGGTGATGACTTTTTGAATGACGCGTTACTTTGCAATGTTGAGACCGAAACACTTGTGAAAGTTGAGAATGAAAAAGTAATGGAGCGGTTTCAAAAGATGTCCGTACGAAGATGACAAATTTAAATTGTAGTAGATAGTTATGTTTTTAACTTTTTATGTAATGAATCGATTTTTTGTATTAGACATAATGAATTATTTTTCAGTTTTAAATTATATTTGACGAGAATATTTTTTTTGGCAACCCCTACTATCAATTTCTGCGTCCGCCCCTACCAGAAAGTGAATATGAGATAATATAACATTTGACTTTATTTTTCATATTCATAAAGGCCAACTTTATAGACCTTTAAAATGACAAATAACTCATTTGTATTAAGTGGCGGACGCATACTGTTTTAGTAGGGGTGTCCCTCGTACTTCAAACCGGTGCACCTAATAGAAAAAAAAAATTTACACTACGTGCCGGAAATTGAGCAGTGGCCCGGGACCTCCAATGCTCCACTAAGGTCCGCCATTGTTTGTATTGGATTTTTGATAAGTTTTTCTCTATACCAGAAAAATAAATACAAAAACATGAAAATTCTAAACACGAACTAGGAACTAAAAACCTAGTTTTTAAAACATTGTTAATATTTGTAGGGTTTGTAATCGAAATGTAGATTAAAATCCCTAACATATATGATCAATCTATGCATACTTATCACAAAACTGAATTATTTTTAAAGAAAAGTATGCTTTATAAATAAGAAACTTCATTAAATGGTACTCACATATCTTTTCATTGAAGTTTTTTTACATAAAAAACAATAACAAATATGCTAATTTATAAGCGCAATATTCCAACTGCTTTTGACAAATTTACAAATCCAACATAAAACGGCAAAGAAATGTTTAGCTGAGCCCCAATTTTAGAGTTAGTTTGGGAAAACTAGTTTGCTACTAGAAGTTGTGAACCATAGTTTTCATTTATGGATAAATGCTTGATAAAAATAATTCTAAGAGTGTTTGATAAGTAGTTCTAAAACTGTGGTATCAAAACAATTTGAATCGATATAGTCAAACCTAATAAACTCACTAAAAACATATCAAACAATCTTGTAGTCTTTTTAAATATATAAAATGAGATAAAACATAAAAACTAAAAGCTGTAAAAAACACCTAATTGAAATATCTTTTAGATTATAACTTTTTTGTTTAATACTTTAATTCGAGCTTAAAATTCTCAAAACTGGATCCAAAAATACCCTTATAACTCCTTATACACACTTCAAGTTTTTTTCCAAAAAAAGATTCTATAATAAATTAAAACCAATTTATGATTTTGCATGCAATATATTCAAAAGCTTTCAATCATGAACAAAATTATTAACATAATTCCAAGGATATCTCAAAATGCCATGCTTCAATCCACAGCAAACAAATCAATAAAATCACACAACCATTACTAAGTAACACTTATGCTACCTAGTAATTATTTAACCTTCAAAAAAAAAAAAAAAAAAAAAAAAAAAAACTTCATATGCTTATGCTTTCTTTCCAATCCCATGAGACATGTTATAAATTCCTCGAACCTGTATAAAAAAGAACAAAAACAAATTACAAAAAAAACCCAACAAAGTCCAGTGAAGATGAATGAATACACACACTCACAATGAGAAAGATGGAAGATCCAGCCAATGCAAGAGGGATAGCAACAGATGTGACTTTATCCATTGGACCCTTGAGATGAGTGCTATTCTGAATGCTTTGAAACAATCTTTGCTTCTCAATTAGCTTCTCTCTTGCCCTAAAAGGTGTCTCCTCCATCTTCCTGCAAATTTTCATCATGTCATCAATGGAATCCCAAAAAAGAATTAGCGTTAATCGAACCGTGTAATGTAACATGCTCACAAATTTCAATTAGATTCACAGATTTTGAAACATGAATAACAGAATGAGATTCGATTGATATTAGACAGAGATCGGTGATATCGATCAATTGAACGTTGGTTGATGAATTTTATGGAAGAAAAGAGGAATTTTCGGGAAGACGATGCATGGGCCAATTAGAACAAACTTATAGAAATATTGAATCGTAGAAATTAGATTAATGAGTAACTGAGTAAGGGTTTCAGATGAAGAGGATTCGACTTACGTGAGAGTGGGAAAAACGAAGAGCCTTGGGTAGAATAAAAAATGGCGATTCGAAGAGCGAAAAACCACGGCAGAGATGACGATCTGAAAGTGATGATTATGAAATGGTAAATTTTGGCTGTAGAATAAGATTCAGAAATCAAGGAAATAAAAATGGTTGGAAGTGGCATTGGGCTTGTAAGGCCTAATATTGGGCCTTGTTCAGTTGTTTTGGTACAAAAATAAAATCTCTTGCCTTTCTACTGAAGATGGGCATGCAAAGTCCAAAATATTCCAAACCGGTTTAGGAAAAAAAAAAAATCAAAAACCATACGGAAACAGGTTTTTCCAAAATCGGTTTGGTTTGGTTCGATAGGTTACTATTGGTTTGGGGAGTTTGCGGTTGAAACTAGACCGAGACTTGTTTGAAAAATCAAACAAAAAATCGTTTACAGTGTGTTTGACACATTAGCAGAAAAATCAGTTTTTAACGTTATATCTTATCAATAAATTGTCTAAAGTAGCTTATAAGCTAGTTTATAATTTACGATAAATTACTTTTGTGGTCTCATCAAACATCAAATTGCAATAAGCTTAAAAAATAAACTAGTTTATGCTTGCCAAATAATATACATAAAAATGTTGTTTTGATCCCATAACTTCTTTACATTCTTTACATTTTTATTAAAACAAAGATTTTGTTGTATTTATCTTTATAAAATTTGAGTAGAAAAAATATCATTCTAACACCTTGGTTGAACCTGAATAATTGAAAATACCTTATGCCATGGCGAACTTCGTTCACTGCTGAAAAGGAAAGTTCGACAGAAATATTGTTATCCAAACCAGATATGATTTGTCCACTCATCGGCCATAAATTTTTTTGTAAAACCTGTAATTTGATTTTCCCCAAATATACAATGCTTCTTAATCTTATTTTATTCCCATATAATGGTTAATCACATAAAATCGGGGATTTCGTTTATTTAGACGATGGGATATGTATTTAATTTGGTTACACATATCTATCAATTTAGTCTCAACATATATGAATGGTTGAATATAAACTTTAATGATCATCTTAAAAATAATCAGCATCCCTTTGAGATTCTTGAACAATTCTCCCTTTTTACTCACATTATGCCTCGCAAGATGATAATAGTAAACGCCATCTTTAAAATTAGATGATCTTTTATTAGAACAAATTACTGAAATGGTCTCTGTAGTTTGTACAAATTTCGTGTTTTTTTACACGCTTGCTCCCTCCGTGAATATCCCGTTAGCCATCCCTGTTAAAAGAGCCCACATGCCTGGCACGCTAGGGGTAATCTCGTCTTTTTAATTCAAAACCCTATAAGAACGTTAATATACATATACAATTGACAAAACCCATCTCTTTCTCGTTGTCTTATTCTTCTCTGCATTTTTCATCCTCTGAGAAATACACGTAATGGCGATTACCTGTGATTCTGGTCATCCTACTGTTATATGCACCTCAACGACAAAGAAAAACCAAGGAAAGTTATTTTATTGTTGTACTGGGAAAGTATTTTTTTTGCTAAGTCACTGTTTTCATTTATACACTTAATCTCTCATGAAATTACTGAAATTGCAGGGGCCACGATGTGGTTTTGTATGTTGGGTTGATGAAGATACATATATCCATGCCAAAAGTACGAATGAGCTTCAAAATGAAATCAAGAAATTCATGCTATTACTACTGTTAACTTGGGTTTTCTTTGTGGCTACTCTAATCTACAAATTGTAATGTTATTGTTTTGGAATGTAATATAATTGACTTGTCGGAAGTTATGTAATGAGTTCCAAACGTTGTTTTTTTTTGGGTTTTTGTATTTCCTGTTGGATGTATCTGTAATGGAATGGAATGCAATTGAAATGGAATGGAATGAAGTTGTTTTTAGGTTATTGTCTTTCCTATTGGTATGTAGCTACAATAGAATGGAATGCACATGATATGGAATGGAATGAACATGTTTTTAGGTTTTTGTTAATGTAATTGGAATCTAATTGGATTGGAATGGAATGTTTAAAACATCCCATAGTTAACAAAAGATCATCACAATGTTATCAAAAGATCACTACAATGTTTAAAACATCTTAGAGTTAACAAAAGATCATGAGAATGTTATCAAAAGATCATTACAATGTTATCAAAACATCACTATAATGTTTAAAACATCTTAGAGTTAACAAAAGATCATCACAATGTTAACTAAAGACCAACACAATAACATAATTTAAAAAGCCATTCCATCATGCTATCAAAATACATAATCTAGTATAAGAGAATTTAAACAACCTTCTTTTCCTTTTTCCTAGCCCCACCTTGCTTGCTTGGACCTGCATCATTACCTCCACCATCCTTCTTCCCCTTCTTCCCAGCCCCACTTTGCTTGCTTGGATCTGCACCATTACCTCCACCGTCCTTATTTCCTTTTTTCCCAGCCCCACTTTGCTTGCTTAGACCTGTACCATTACCTCCACCATCCTTCTTTCCTTTCTTCCCATCTACTTAACCTTTGCAGCTCCTTTTGTTATGACCAACATTTTTTCATTTTAAGCATGTCACAAACTTGTCTTCCCTTGAAGCCCTACCACTCACCATTTCTTCTGATTCAACCACACACTTCCTTCTTTTCTTCTTAGGTTTACCAATAGGGACATGGTGCTTGGGAAGAAGCAATGTTGTAGAACAAGGATACTTTACCCATATTCTTCTTCCATTGATAGGCTCGATCTTGAAGGAATACATTTCCTTCCATGTACTCAACCAGTAAGTGGGATGCACCCACGACTCAGGTAAACCAATATTTATCATGTTTTTTCTCATGTCCCAAATTGCCACCAATGCATGTTTACAAGGTATACATGTCACACCCCCAAACATGGATGGCGGAAATGTCTGGTGGTGGATGACTTCATGAACAGTATCACAACATAATGTACAATAGTGATCAAAGCAAACACAACCATCATAAATATAATTGAGAATGTTACATTGTTTCCAAGTATTGTATGTTTCAAAACTGATGATATATGGTCCACTAGCATGGCCCAGACTGCTCTAGCGAGCCAGCCTAGCTTGGCGCGCTCCTGCCAGCCTTGTCTGGCGTTCTCCTGCCAACCTTGCTGGGGACTCCCTTGCCAGCCTCGCTGGGGAATCTCCTGTTGGTTTATATGACTAGTTCCAGTCCGATGTCATTGGCCGCGTACCAATAACACCAGACTGGGGGGACTTGATGATATATGGTCAATTGGCAAGGCCTAGACTGCTCTAGCGCGCCAGCCTGGCCTGGTACGCTCCTGCCAGCCCTGCCTGGCGTTCCCTTGCCAGCCTTGTTGGGGACTCTCCTGCCGGCCTGGCCAGGCGCTCCCTCGCCTGGCACTCCCTTGTCATCCCTTCCTGGTGCGCGCCCGCCAGCCCCGCCCGGCGCCTCCGGGCGGCCTTGCCCAACTCCTTGCTAGTTGGGCCTGAATTGGGCTGGCCCAAGGCCTGACCTAATTGCCCCCTATATAATGAATAGTATCTCCTCCATGGAGAGGGATCTTCCCCCATGGCTCAGCCGCCACTATACTCCGGCCGGGTGGCTCAGCCGCCACCCGCCGCCGTCAGCCACCATACACCACCACTAGCACCAAGATGGTTCTCTCCAGCTATGGAGGACCACCTCAGATCTTCCATCTAATCTAACTTGACCGTCAGAGTCCGCTCCCGGGGCACAGTCCCTGGGTCGGCTCTAACGACTTTGCACTGTGATGTCCAGATCTCCGCCGTAGCAGAAGACCAGATAAGCCGCCGGAGGTTGATGTCGCATCATTTGGCGCCATCCCGGACTTGAACAAGCAGCCATCACCTTGTTCTTCCTAGATCTGTTTAGATCTGTTGAGTTCCACATCAGGTTTTCTCAGATCTGTCCATTCTTATCCCTCATTTGATCAGATCCGTTCAGATCTGATTAGCTATCTTTTAGATCTCTCGATCTGATGTGTTTTCATTCAGATCCATAGATCTACTTCATTTTTAGCTCAGATCCCCTGATCTACTTAGTGTTTTTGTTCAGATCTATGGATTTGCTTTGTTTCTTAGACCAGATCTTTGGATCTGTTCTAGTTTTGGTTCATTCAAAGATTTTTCGAGTTTACAAAGGCATTTCAGATCAGTTTCGTTTTTCTTTTCAGTGACCCATTCAGTAAGTTGGGGAGAAAAGAAATTTTTTACAAGTTTATCCTTTTATCAAGTTCATATTATTAGAAAATCGTTTTTTAGTTAAGATTTTTTTTGTGTATAACCTTACTCCCAGCAACATTTGTTTGTAAACAAAGCTGGAATGCTTGTACATTTCAAAAAATCGAGTTCTTACTCACTTTTGTTCATATTTTTGGGTGTTCTTTCTTTAGAAGCTCAGAGAAGAGAAACGAAGTTTTTTACAAATCTGCTCTTGCTTACACCTTGATAGTTTGTTGAGCAAGCTGAAGAAGGAAAGAAAGTTTATGAGAAAAAAAAAAACCCTTCTCAGATCTGTTTCTTTTTTATATTCTGAGGATTTGTTTAGCAAGTGGGAAGAAAAGAAATTTTTAAGAGTTTTATTTCAGTTTATATATCGTTTTTAGCTATGATATTTTGAATGCAATCCTACCTCTGCAACAATTGTTTGTGCATACAACTATATGACTTGTACATTTCACAAAACTCTTCAAAAAAAAAGAGAGAAGGGAGGAGAAAATATTTCTATAAGCTTTTATCTTATTCTCAGATCATGTTAACAAGAGCATATTCTAGTTCACAATTTTCTTTGAACAAGACCTCTCATGTCTGTTTTGTTTATATTTTTGGGCCTTTTCAAAAAGTTTGAGGGGACAGGAGGCTTTTTACCCCATGTCCATCGATTTTTGTAGAACTAATCTCTAAAACATTTATTTGTACCCATGGCTGGGATGCTTGTACATTTTATCAAATTAACAAAAGAAAAAAAAAGAAGTCAAAGTTCAAGAAATGATGTTATTTCTCTCTCTAAGGCTATGGGAAGTACATGGAATTTTACAGCTCATATTTCCAGTGAATTGTATAAAATATTACAACAGTAAAGCTGTCAATCCTAACCATATAAACGACAAAAGAAAAAAAAGGGTAAAGGTGCACAGTGCACTAGACTAATGACAAGACATATGACAGAGTTGTCTACAAAAGTCAAAAAAGCAAAACCGACCCCACCTGGTCCAATCCCTTATGTACAGAAAAACAAAAGAGTCGGACCCACCGGTCGACACACCCTCCCAAGCAGCCAAGGACGTCCCAAACCCGAGCTTCTCTCGCCAGAACGAAAGCCCCAACTACTCAATCCCCGGTCGCACCCAGCTCCGCCACTCCACCTACTCAACCCAGATCTTATGAATCTCCAATCGCTCTCTCGCAGAGCCACCCGCTGATCCCCACTATCTCAATTGTCTTCGCCAACAGGCACCTTCAAGATCCAGCGCCACCAGTGACAGGTAACACCATCATCGCCTCACAGTCGCGACCTCCGGTCACACGCCAACAGTCACCATCGACTGCAATCACCGGACGCCATCCACCTCCCTCCAACGGCGATTATCGCTTCCCCCAGCAGCAGCGCCGGCGTCAAGCAATAATCTCCATCTAACAAACACACCATCGATTGTCGATATCGTCGCAGGGACCCAAACCTCCAACAGACCATCCAATCGCCATCCCTAGACCACCGGTCGGAACCCAAAGCGCCACCTGTCATCCTCCTGCGACCATACGACTGGGGCTCAAGTTCCGATTACCTTGGCATCACCGCACCACCGTTCTCCATCTGCTCCACTCTCACCACCCAACGACAGTTGGACTACCGCACCTCCCTTCGATAGACCAAATCCAGCATCAGCAATCGCCGACGCCAGATACCTTGTCGACTGCCAACTAAACAAAGTAGCGCCATGCGCTGACCCCTGTTTCTCGATTCGCAGCCAACCGGAGCTACTGCGATCCGAGAGGGCTGCGCCACCGTACCAACGCTCCGATCTCCCTCTCGTGTGGCAAGCTCCCTTTTTCTTTTGGCATATCCACGAAAATCAGATACAGAGAAAGCGAGGGTACCAATAAAAGGACTTGGGCTAAGAATCTTATCAGATGGGCTTACAAGATTATTGGGCTTATTCAATCAGGCTCCTTTTTTAATTTTGGGCCTCTTCTAAGCATTTTTGGACCACTTTAGCAACAAATGGGCTATGCATTTGCCTCGAGTTAATAGTCAGATGCTCAATGATCGAATGCTGTGATTTTTACTCAACAAAATCCAAGATTTAGAAAACGCATTGCAGTCCGGATTCACACAACTAAAAAAAAAGGGAAAGAGTAAGTAGTACATTGTCACTACTACTATTAGTAAAGCATTTTGAAATAATCCTCTGCAACCGCGCTGTCCGACTGTCATAAGCCGCGTTGCCAGCTCCATACAGTCTCGCTACTCAGCTCTCATCAGTCGTGTTGGCCGACATCTCGCAATCGCGCTGCTTAACTCTCGGCAGCCGTGCTATCCGCTCTTTATTAGCACTTGTGTCGCCTAGCTCTTTCCAGCAGCTATGTATCTCAACTTTCAGCAGTTGTACATCCATATTTCCCTTTTCTTCGCCCCCTCTAAGAAAAAAAGGGGGGGGGAATAGTGTTGGTACGACACTATGTAGAAGTGATTTTTATTCCCAAGGGGAAGAGTTAAGGTACATAAAGAGCTGATACCATGAATGATGGTGTATCCTCGAGGTGACGTTGGTATTCCGGATTGAAAGAGTAGCCACGTGGTCCGACTCTCAAATAGTCGTATTACTCACCTATCGCTAGCAGCTCGCTGCCCGGGCCTCAACGGCCCTGCTGACCAGTTCCTGACAGCAGTCTCGCTACGCACCACTTGACAATAGCTACACTATCAAGCCCTAAGTAGCACCGCCACATAGCTCTCCGCAAACAGCCAAGACAGCGAGGCATGATTTATTAGTACGACTAGCGATGCAGCAAAGCATCAGGTACCATTCCGCTTTAACCCAGACTTATCACACGAGCTAGACACATAAATTGTAGGGTGCTACGCCCAATCATACGAGGTTCAGTACCCTCGCCTTGAGTCGCCTGGCTTCTCAGCCCGACTCCATTATAGAGGCAAGCTCCGCATGCGAGGTTCAGTACCCTCGCCTCGAGTCGCCTGGCTTCTCAGCCCGACTCCATTATAGCGGTAAGCTCCGCATGCGAGGTTCAGTACCCTTGCCTCGAGTCGCTTGGCTTCTCAGCCCGACTCCATTATAGCGGCAAGCTCCGCATGCGAGGTTCAGTACCCTCGCCTCGAGTCGCCTGGCTTCTCAGCCCGACTCCATTATAGCGGCAAGCTCCGCATGCGAGGTTCAGTACCCTCGCCTCGAGTCGCCTGGCTTCTCAGCCCGACTCCATTATAGCGGCAAGCTCGGCATGCGAGGTTCAGTACCCTCGCCTCGAGTCGCCTGGCTTCTCAGTCCGACTCCATTATAGAGGCAAACTCCGCATGCGAGGTTCAGTACCCTCGCCTCGAGTCGCCTGGCTTCTCAGCCTAACTCCATTATAGCGGCAAGCTCCGCATGTGAGGTTCAGTACCTTTTCCTCAAGTCGCCTGGCTTCTTAGCCCGACTCCATTATAGCAACATGCTCCGACCATTCCACGCGACGCTCTTCCGCGTGACTTTTCTACGACCGCTGGAAGCCAAGCCCAACCCATTCTGCGCGATGCTCTTCCGCGTAACATCTCCATGATCATTGGCTGCTAAGCCCAAGCTACTCTCCTAAGTCGCACAACATAAGTCACGCATCGTCGCGCACCATAAGTCGCGCATCACAAGCTTATTCCACACCATGATCTTGGTGCTTCCTTTCTCACAGTCATCATGGTTCTCTTGTGCTCGGACGATCGATGAAGTGTTATCTACATTACACCATGCTATAGTGAGGATACTCTCCAGCAAGAAGGTCATCCCGACAGTGGCCATGCTACCTACGACCCCACAGCATCTCTGTTTCCTGGCTCTCGGAAATGGTCTCGCTGTGCAACCCTACCTGTAGCCTCGCCGCGTACCCCACATCGCCTCTGTTTCCTGGCTCTCGGAAATGGTCTCGGTGTGCAACCCTACTTGTAGCCTCGCCGCATACCCCACAGCACCTCTGTTTCCTGGCTCTCGGAAATGGTCTCGCTGTGCAACCCTACCTGTAGCCTCGCCGCGTACCCCACATCACCTCTGTTTCCTGGCTCTCGGAAATGGTCTCGTTGTGCAACCCTACCTGTAGCCTCGCCGCGTACCCCACAACACCTCTGTTTCCTGGCTCTCGGAAACGGTCTTGCTATGCAACCCCAAACTATAGCCTCACTGCCTATCCCTCAACAATTCTGTTGTCTGGCTATCAAAAATAGTCTCGCTATGTGACCCTCGCTAGCAACCTAGCTGCACAGCTCTTGGAATCTCTTCCACTTATATTATGGCCAACAACCTTACGGTTTATTGGCTTGAAAACATAGTCTGACACGGCTACCTACGCTACCCACATCAGACTGGGGGGAATCCAGCTAGGTGTAGCCCGAGCAAGAAAGACCCTCAAGACGGTTATTAATGCAGACTATGTAGATGGTTACTGGTGACATCCCATCTGCGCATGGATACCACAACAATCACGTCGGATAACAGTCTCAGGGACTAAATGGCAAGCTTACGCTTCTTAGCTACCTCGCCCCGACATTCCATCGACATCAGTGTCGTGTAACACACTTTAGCAGCCTCGGTCTGCATTATCGCAGCAACAGTTACGTTGCGTTGCACCGATAAGCTCACACTCCTTTCAATGAAGGAGTAACAGGTCAGCTCAAGCCGCATAAGCAATGTTTGGCTCTTCGCACAACCCCACGACTCTCGTGGGCGAGGTTCGGTCATTTCTCTTTATTATTTATTGTATTGGTGCTTTATCTAGTCCGATCCGATTGTCAGCAACCCAATCGCATCAGACTAGGGGGACTTGACGACGCACAGTTTATATGAATAGTTCCAGTCCGATGTCATTGGCCGCGTACCAATAACACCAGAATGGGGGGACTTGATGATATATGGTCCACTAGCATGGCCCAGACTGCTCTAGCGAGCCAGCCTAGCCTGGCGCGCTCCTGCCAGCCTTGTCTAGCGTTCTCTTGCCAACCTTGTTGGGGACTCCCTTGCCAGCCTCGCTGGGGAATCTCCTGTTGGTTTATATGAATAGTTCCAGTCCGATGTCATTGGCCGCGTACCAATAACACCAGACTGGGGGGACTTGATGATATATGGTCCATTGGCATGGCCTAGACTGCTCTAGCGCGCCAGCCTGGCCTGGTGCGCTCCTGCCAGCCCTGCCTGGCGTTCCCTTGCGAGCCTTGCTGGGGACTCCCTTGCCAGCCTTGCTGGGGACTCTCCTGCCGGCCCGGCCAGGCGCTCCCTCGCCTGGCACTCCCTTGTCATCCCTTCCTGGTGCGCGCCCGCCAGCCTTGCCTGGGGCGCGCCCGCCAGCCCCGCCCGGCGCCTCCGGGCGGCCTTGCCCAACTCCTTGCTAGTTGGGCCTGAATTGGGCTGGTCCAAGGCCTGACCTAATTGCCCCCTATATAATGAATAGTATCTCCTCCATGGAGAGGGATCTTCCCCCATGGCTCAGCCGCCACTATACTCCGGTCGGGTGGCTCAGCCGCCAACCGCCGCCGTCAGCCACCATACACCACCACTAGCACCAAGATGGTTCTCTCCAGCTATGGAGGACCACCTCAGATCTTCCAGCTGATCTAACTTGACCGTCGGAGTCCGCTCCCGGGGAACAGTCCCTGGGTCGGCTCTAACGACTTTGCACTGTGATGTCCAGATCTCCGCCGCAGCAGAAGACCAGACAAGCCACCGGAGGTTGATGTCGCATCAAAAACCAATTACATTATGATGACAAAAATGAATAGTACGACGCCGTAACGTCCCATCCTCAAAAGCCTTGTGATTACCTGTTTAACGGTTTCCTGAGAATACAAGTAGTTTTGAAAAGTGTCAACAATTAAGTTGGTGAGTTCATAAGAATTTTGTATGGATAAAAATCTGTAATTATTTCCTTGTAAAATGATAGTATTTGTTCCCAGAAAATCCAATATTTTCTTAAAATGAGTTGTAGTCTTAAAAACCCTAAGACCAAAAATGTATAAGTATTTCTATACTTAAAATAGTATTACGTAGTTTTATTCTTATATAAAACCTTTTGAACACATGTTACCCCGTAAACTAAATGTATTCTTGATTCCCCATGTGAGTTATTACAACAATGCTAAAACCAAAGTTGACGTGCCACGACGTTCTTCAAGCGTCAGAATGTTAAACATTTGTCACCCAGACCTGCCCGGTCTAACTGTAACTAGCAGCTTAGGTGCGGGATTGTCAGTCTCGTATAGATCTATACACAAGTATCATGCTCTTTTACCGAGATTCTGGTTATAATTCAGAACTTTAGTGTGTACTCTGGTAGGTACGGTGAAGACTTTGTCTCACATAATTGTTTCAACAAGTTTACGTTTTGTGTAATGAAAACCATTGTAAGTGTAAGTATCATTTTTTCATAGTATTAATATAGTGCATAATAATTATATACTTTCATATAATTATTCGTTTTGTCCTAAAATGTTATAATGGTGTTAATGACCCATAAACTATACCTATTATAGTTTATTATAAATGTTTCGTTGTACCTATACACACACACACACACACACACACACACACATATATATATATATATATATATATATATATATATATATATAAGTTAACATGTTTAGATGTTCATAAATAACATATATTATACATCTAACACAAGTATATGAACTAATAGTATGATAAAGTCAGTTTTCTAGTTTTTAGCATTTTTACGTCGCCAAACGGTAAATATTGAACTATAAACTTTGTAAAATTTATTTTTTATCTTTTTGTGAAGTTTAAGTCAAGCTAACTGTATATGTTTAAAACAACATATTTTAGGTCAAGTTTCACAAAAATGGTTATAACCATTTTTGTTAGAAAACCCTAATTTTTATAGAAAATGATAGATTTTTAGGTTTTCTTTTTGTAAAACCAAATCTTTGGTATTTATAACTAGTTTCATAACATATGTCCAAAATAACATATTTTGGTTTATATCCCACAAATAAAATAGTGTAATAATTTGGTTATAACCATATTTGCTAGAAAAGTCATATTATGTTCATAAAAACCATAGTTTTTATAGTTTTGTTTTTATGACTTTTTCTCAAGAACATATAGTATGTTTATACCCATTTGTCATAGAATTGAATTTTATGCAACATACCACACATAAATGTCTTTAATACTAGGTAATAACATTCACTACTAGAAAAACAGTCTTTTACGACGCGGAAACCACGACACTCATTGATTTATGTTACGCAAAAGAGAGTGACATTAAAAAAGTGTCATCTCTTCAAAAAATTTAAGGATTTAGGTCACGCATTATTGCGTGCCCTTTAATTAGTGTCTAAACAAAAAAAAAATACGGAGGGCACCTATAATAAAATGTGTGTCGTCTATGGATGTCGTTTTATAAATTTTAATGGAACGCGCGTTCCATCCCTTAATAACCAGGGGAAAAATGAAATCCTAAAAAATTAAAAACCCCGCCTTCCTTTTTTCTCCTTTCCCTCTTGCCCTAATTATCGACGCTCAAATGAAAAGGAACGACTAGACGCAAAGTTGAAATTGGTCGGAGAATACGGTCTACGATGCAAGCGAGAGCTCTGGAGGATGCAATATGCACTCAGCAAAATCCGTAATGTTGCGATAATGCTTCTAACTCCTGAGGAGAAAGATCCACAAAGAATATTCGAAGGCGAAGCTCTCTTGAGGAGGATGAACAGGTATGGTTTGCTGGATGAACGTTCTTGCCCTCACTGTTGAAAACTTCATTGAACGCCGTCTTCAAACCCTCATCTTCATTGAACAGACTATTTATCTTATCAAAAAATCATAGGGATCATTATCTAGGGCCTTTTTCAAGGAGTGCTCTCTGCAACGTTCTCTACCTCGGCTCTCCTCACCTGCAAGCGACCTCAGCTCACCTCTTTCCACCGGAGACCTCAGGCTCACCTCACCTCACCGGAGACTGGAACGAATGCTCAAGTTTCCAAGCCCTAGGTCTGATTAAGGTATGTTTATCATGATCTCGACACACCTCAACAACACCACTACAACTCAATCTCAGTCGTCGACTTACTCTGTTGACCAATGTTCTCTGTATCACCAACTTCTTGCCTTCCCATGGTTCGCTAATCAGATCCGATTCGCCAAAGCTCACGACTCCATGTGAGTTCTTCCCTTTGTGTTGTATCTGAAGAAATTAGAAAAGCTTACGATCGAAGTTCATGAGAATTACTTGATTTACCTGATTGAAATCACTCTCCATAGACAAATGATTTGAGCACAAAAAAAAGTGAATTTAGAAATTTTTTAATAGTTCACTCGTGAACCATGAGAGCAGGTAACCTGTTTGAATAAATGCATATGAGATGTTACTTTTAAAATTTCTGATTGCGAGAGAAAAAAGAAGAAACCTAGAGAGCATGTTGTTAGGTAAAATATGAAAGGTTGAAAACATGTGGCTATGCATGTGAAATAAAAGAATCAAATTCAAACTGAAAGTTGGAAAATAAGTGGTGCATTCAACATGTTCAAACTTGAAGTTGGTAGACTTTAAATTGGTTACAACTCTTTCTGTTTTCACATGGCAAACATTCACCTATATATATGCATGTATGTTTTGCATATTTGGTGTGCAAAAAAACTTGAGAGAACATCAAGTGTAGAGTGTCAAGCCAATTGTAATCTTGTGAGTTTTAATAAAATTCTCTAGTTGCAGCCCGTGGACGTAGGATTTGCACCGAATCCGAACCACGTAAAATCCTTGTGTTCTTCTTGCTTTATTTTCGTGAGTTTGTGTGTGTGTGATAGTGTGTTTCCGCTGCGTGTACCCGGTCCGGTTCCTAACAACTGGTATCAGAGCCAGATTAGCGAGGTTTGGAGGGTACAATCATTTTTTTTATCACGCACGAGTGTACCTGATTTGTATCTTGTTTGTCGTAATGGCTGAAGACAAGGTTGTAATCGAAAAGTTCAACGGTTCTGATTTTAGCTGGTGGAAAATGCAATTAGAAGCATTGCTATGTCAGAAAGACTTGGACATGGTACTCGGAGACAAACCGGAGAAAATGGAAAAAGCTTTTGAAGATGCGTGGAACTCAAAGGACAAGAAAGCCAAGGCGGTTATTACATTGTCGTTGACGAAGAGCGTTGCTTTCAACATCATGAATGAAACCACGGCGCGTGGTATGATGGAGGCTCTGTCAAATATGTATGAGAAACCATCGGCGGCTAACAAGGTGTTCTTGATGAAGGAGTTGTTCACTACAAGGATGAATGAGGAAGGCTCAGTTACGGTTCGCATTAACAATCTAAATTCAATTCTGTCCAGATTATCATCTGTGGGAATTAAATTTGATAACGAGACTCAAGCATCACTGCTACTAGCTTCTCTACCTGATAGCTGGTCCGGAACAGTTACTGCTGTTACGAGTTCCGTGGGGACCAGTGGTATGACTTTTGAAGGGGTTAGAGATTTGGTTCTTGGCGAAGATATCAGACGCAAGAATCAAGGTGGATCTTCTTCTTCTGATTTATTAAATGTCGGAAGAGGTAGAGGGAATAGCAGGAGCAGTGGGAGTTGGGGAAAAAGTTCTTCTAGAACTTTGAAGAATGTGAAATGCTGGAACTGCCAAGAGGTGGGACATGTTAAGAGTCAATGTCCAAAGAAAGAATTAAACATTGCTGGTGCTGAGAGTGTGTCTGAGGATGATGCACTGATACTCAATATGGAAAGTTCTGTGGACTCTTGGGTCATGGATTCAGGGGCTTCGTTTCACGCCATGGACAACGGGGAAACGATGGTGAATCTAAAAAAAGGAGATTTTGGAAAGGTACGATTAGCAAATGACGAGATGCTTCAAGTAACGGGCATGGGAGATATTGATCTAGTTACTTCATTGGGAACTACATGGAGCCTGAAGAATGTCAGGGTTATTCCGGAGCTGAAGAAAAAATTGATTTCTGTTGGTCAGCTGGATAAACAAGGACTGGAAGTAAGGTTTGGTGGTGGTAAATGGATGGTGGTCAATGGTAATTCGGTGATTGCTCAAGGTATGAAGCGTGGGTCATTGTATATGGTTGAGGTACCTGCTGAGGGAAGTATGACCATCCCGATTAAGCAAAACAAAATCTGGTTCGCTAAATCTACTGCTAAGAGAGTTCATTTTGCAAACATGAATTCTGGAGCCAAGGGGATGTTAGCTGAACGAGTCGGAAATTCTAAACCATTCAGGGGATTCTGTGACAGTGGGAGCACGGGGTGTGTTCCGGGTACAGTTACAAAGAGCCGTTGGGTTTTGAAGACTAAGACTGGAAAATTCTCTCTTGTTGGAAGTTTGCAAAGTTTGGAGAGTGTTAGTGGTCCTCGGTGTATCTCTGGATCTGGTGGAGTGTCCAAACCGGTTGAGACAGAGGATGAGTCGGTGGTGGGATTAGCCACGACTGAGTTGGAGCTAGTGGGAGCTTCAACTGGCCCTTCTAGTACTTGAAGATGAGGGGCGGCTGCAATTAGAGAAATGGGACTAAGTTTAGCTTGTTCTTAGGAACTGGAGGCTTGGAAGACTTGGTTGTTTTAAGATTACTGGAGTTGGATGACAGAGACGGACCATGTTGTTCAAACTTTCAAGTGGGAGATTGTTAGGTAAAATATGAAAGGTTGAAAACATGTGGCTATGCATGTGAAATAAAAGAATCAAATTCAAACTGAAAGTTGGAAAATAAGTGGTGCATTCAACATGTTCAAACTTGAAGTTGGTAGACTTTAAATTAGTTACAACTCTTTTTGTTTTCACATGGCAAACATTCACCTATATATATGCATGTATGTTTTGCATATTTGGTGTGCAAAAAAACTTGAGAGAACATCAAGTGTAGAGTGTCAAGCCAATTGTAATCTTGTGAGTTTTAATAAAATTCTCTAGTTGCAGCCCGTGGACGTAGGATTTGCACCGAATCCGAACCACGTAAAATCCTTGTGTTCTTCTTGCTTTATTTTCGTGAGTTTGTGTGTGTGTGATAGTGTGTTTCCGCTGCGTGTACCCGGTCCGGTTCCTAACACATGTAACCTAGTTTCATATGTAATTTCATTAAGTTATTTAGCATACCCAACTAATTGAGGGTTAAATGCGTGTTTTCATTACTGTTAATCTCTTTTTGTTTATGTAAAACATTATCTTTCATTAAGTTAGTTAGTTTCATATGCAATTTCATTAAGTTAATCTCATTACTGTTAATCTCATTAAGTTATTTAGCACACCCAACTAATTAAGTTATTTAGCATACCCAACTAATTGAGGGTTAAGTGGGTTGGTCTCCAAATTGCGGCCTAAGGACCGGGTAATCTATTGTTTCCTACATTTACCCTTTCATCATTTTCGATTTCCTTTTGCATTTTATATGCTTATAAGATAATCTGCTATCAGACAAGATGTATGCCTGTTTCTGTCTGACCTATTAGTTTCCCACTAATACTGATTAGATGAGTAGGGTGACCTGTTATCATGTATGCTTGCCACATAAAGTTGTATTTTGCCATGCCTGAGTGACTTGCACCAACATTTATTAAGAAAAAAGCTTGTAGTGGGTGATTTAGTTTTATTAGTTGGAGTTCACATGGTTATCAAAGTAGTTTGCTTTAGAGATTTGCTGGAGGCTGCTGTTGGTATATGCTAAACCAAGCAGCATATAGTTGTTGCTGTGATAGACAAAGCTCATCATGCTGTTCTTGTAACAATGATAATTTATTGCTAATACAGCTATGCATTTGAAAACAAATGCTATGTTGTGTTGGGTGGTTATTGGTAGTGTATTTCTTTATAGTTTGCTCTGAAATGATGTTTTTTTATTAGCTGCAGATGAAAACAGGATGTGTTGCTCTTGTTCTATGTTTGAATATCAGCGTGGACCCACCCGATGTAATAAATATTTCACCTTGTGCCAGAATGGAGTGCTGGATAGGTATAGTTATGAGTTTATGACATTCACATTCTTCTTCTTGCTATCAACACATCTGTTTCTTCTTCAAGGATGTTAGTTTTGTTTTAGTTATATAGTGCTTCAGATGTTTATATTTAAATGTATTTGATTTTAGATCCATTTTCTATGGCCCCACAAAAAGCTCTTGAAACAATCGGAAAAACATTGAGTTTCTAGTATGAAAGGTGGCAACCCAAGGCCAAATACAAGATTCAGTTAGATCCTACAGTGGAAGAAGTGAAGAAACTCTGTACTACATGTTGCAAATATGCCAAATCTGAAAGGGTTCTTTTCCATTATAATGGTCATAGTGTACCTAAACCAACTGCCAATGGTGAAATTTGGTTTTTTAACAGGGTAATTATATGTTTTTATTTTGCACTATCTTTCTATCTTCATGCCTTGTATTCAATAGTTTCCCTAGACTAATTTCCTCTATTCTTCTTAAATGTTGTAGAGTTATACACAGTATATTCCATTGCCTATCAGCGACCTTGACTCATGGCTCAAGATTCCCTCCATATATGTTTTTGATTGTTCTGCTGCAGGGATGATTGTCAATGCCTTCATAGAGGTATTATTAACTATTTATTTCTTGACAACATTGTTATTATTGTTTGACTAAATGCTTGAATATCATTTATATGTATATAGCTCCAGAATTGGACTCCCTCAAGTTCTTCTTCTTCTTCTTCAGGAACTTCACCAAGAGATTGTATTCTACTTGCAGCATGTGAAGCACATGAAACCCTATGTGGTAATAAACACATATGTGGAAATAAACACAAGAACTTGCTTATGATGTTATAATTCTTGAATCTTGATTATTTTGGTTATGGTTTGACCACGTGTCATTACAGGGATGCATGGGATATGGCTGCTAAAATCTGCCTTTCTCAACTTCCAACATTGTTCGAGGATCCCAATGCAGAATTCCAGGTCTGAGATTAAATTGATTTTTTTCTAGTTAGTTCTTCGGATGCTTTCTTGATAAAATTATTGATTAATTGTTGATGTTGATGTGGCATTAATGTTTTTCAGCCAAGTCCTTTTTTCACTGAGCAATTGACAGTATTTGAGGTGCCACATCTGGAATCATGCATGGATCTCCACTCTTAGATGACTCATCACAACACTCTGATCCTGGGCTCCTGAATGACATCATAACAAATGGTGTCACCAACCACACAACAAATACAAAACCACGCCAGCTGGACAATGCCCTCTACTCCCAATGTGTGTCTGCCATGTGTACATTAGCAAAATATCCATCACAATGCATTGAAAGTTTAGGGAAGCAAGTTCTTTCCATTATAGGGATTGAACAAGTTCCCACAAAGTCTGTAAAACCAAGTGGAAGTGTAAGGTCAGGGGAACAGTCATCAACTGCTAATAGTCTAGCTGGGTTAGCTCGATTATCTTCTTGGTTTGATATGAATGGAGGTCATCTGCCTTTGACTTTTAGAACTCCACCTGTTAGTCCACCTAGACCAAGTTACTTAACAGGAATTGGAATGAGAAGAGTCTGTTCACTAGAGTTCAGACCACACTTAATGGATTCAGGGCTTGCAGATCCTCTTTTAGGCTCACCTGGAGTTCCAGGAGCTTCAGAGAGAAGCTTTTTACCTCAATCAACTATTTACAACTGGAGCTGTAATCATTTCTCAAAGCCTCTTCTTACAGCAACTGGAGCTGCAATGGTGAAATTGAATTTTGATTTATGTATTTTTCTTTTTGTTTTTCATTTTCAGCTGGTAGCAATCTTTATAATCCAATTGCTCGATGGGTTACAAATTTTGAGACTGGTGCTAAAATAGCTTTGCTGCAGCCTTTCTCTCCAATAGTGGTTGCTACAGATGAGGATGAATGCATCAGGTATGCCACCTTTGTTTTCCCTTTGTCGTGTTTGAATTGTTTGGAATTAGTTATGTTATGTCAATGTATGCTTTATCGTCCATTTGATTGATATATATCATATGCTTTATATATGGAAATTCTTGTGTTATGATAAATACCAGGATCATTGATTCCCACACATCCTTTGCACACAATGCAACTGAGTTTACCACTAAGAAAGCATTGTAAATGTTTTAAGTATTGGTAATCTCAAATGGACTGTAACACCCATAAAATTCAAGCCAAATTTAAACTTTTTAATACATTTTAAAACCATTTAGTTATTACAGTTTGTTTTCAAAATGGTTCATACATCAAAGTATCCCCAGAATCAATCATGAAAATATGAGGAGGTGCACGATCACGCCTTCGCCTTCCCACAATCATCAGAAGTGCCTGAAACAAAATCAACAACTGTAAGCCCGAAGCTTAGTGAGTTTCCCCAAAATACCAACGCCATACAAACATAAACATATCATATAACCAATACAGAACATAGCAACATGCATAATGAGCCTTCAGCCTGACTGGACCGCCTCGCAGGCCTTCAGTCTATCTGGACCGCTCTCCGAGCCTTCGGCACGTCTGGACCGCCTTGTAGGGCCTTCAGCCTATCCGGACCGCTCGCCGGGCCTTCTGTCTGACTATCATACCATCCTGGGTCTGTAGTCTATCCGGTCCGCCCTGGGTATGTTGGCCTTCAGCACAAAGCAGGACCGCCTCAACCCAAACCCCCAATCAAACAAACATGTGCACATACATATCATACACTAGCATATATAACAGTCAACCAATCTAACAAAATCAAATAGCATAGCATCATCCTATGCCCAGGATACTGACCTAACCAGGTCACCAACATATGTACAGATAATCATACGGATCTAACAGATCATATAGCATAGCAACATCCTATAACCAGGATACCGACCTAACCAGGTCACTAACATGTATACAGATAATCATACGGATCTAACAGATCACATAACATAGCAACATCCTATAACCAGGATACCGACCTAACCAGGTCACTAACATGTATACAGATAATCATACGGATCTAACAGATCACATAACATAGCCACATCCTATAACCAGGATACCGACCTAACCAGGTCACTAACATGTATACAGATAATCATACGGATCTAACAGATCTTATAGCATAGCAACATCCTATAACCAGGATACAATCATAAAGGGCTGGCCTTGGTGCCGTAGACCCTGTTGATATAGTGAGGAGAACTCACCTGGCACTGCTGAAGTCCCGCAGGTACGCTCCAGCTGCTGATTGACAGATTCCCGAACTTGAAGGGTTTTAGGTAAAACAAATAAACTAGAAAAACAATTCCTAAGTTCACATGCAACCTACTTTGGATCTATGTTTTAACTATTGAACATATAACTTTGAATTGCAAAACAAGAACCCTAGAGGAGAGAGGCTATTTTCGAAAATAGTAAACTAGGGTTTAGGGTTTACATACCTTTCAATTGTTATAGCAAACAATTGATATTCCCTTGATCTTGATCTTGATCTTCTTGGAAGCTTTAGCACCACAAGTGTAATGCCTCTAATGGAATCACACCCAATGACTAGCAAGAAGGAAAGTAGAAGAAGAGAGAGGAGAGAGGGAGTATGCAAAATCTCGGCCTTAGGGTTTCTTCAAAAGAAAGAGTGACCAAAAACATGAACGAGGAGGCTCCTTATATAGCTGAGGGATCTAGGATTTAAGGGAAACCCTAGTTATCCTTTGCTTAGGGCCTAAGCAAACCCAAGGGCCTTATCCAAGCCCCTATGGACGAAATTATTAGGGTTTCCCCTAAAGATTTCGTCCACCCTCTTCCAAGGGGGTTCTAGAGCCTTCCACTCAACTATTAGATAATTGCAAACTAGTCCCTGCACCTTATAATTAATTCTTTTAACCCCAAAATCAATTCTGATTAATTTCTGGCTAACAATTAATTAAACATAATGATTTCTAATTAATATATTAATCCATTAACATATTAATAAATCATTTATATATATATATATATATATATATATATATATATATTAATTTATTAATCTTATAAATTAATATCTCTTTTTTCATAATTTCCTTGTCCAGTTGCTAGGTTGAGGGCAACCCAAAAGGACTGTGCTGCTATCAATTCAAGTACATACCAATTATAGTTATGGGCTTAGACACCTAATCCAACAGTCTCCCACTTGGATAAGTCTGTAACTATAATTGCTAGTATGCCTTCTAAATTTGACCAGCAAATTGTAGCTTCTAAAAGCTGCTGCCGAACTCTGACCCAGTCAGTTACGTGTCCTAAGATAAGTGATCATATAACCCTTCGTTCTGCTTGATATCCCCAGACAAAAGACATGGAATGTAATCAATCTCTTTGTCCAGAATCTATGTTTCCCGATTCCTGATTTGTGATGATGTAGGACTTCTAATCGAACACATCAATTTAGTCCTGGCTGGGCCCAGCACATAAGTCAACACCAAATCATCGAGGGGCCCACAGATATCGCTTTTCCTGTTAGGGCAAAAGGAACGAATAAACGTTGACTCATATGCTTGTATCTTTTACTCATCAAATTATGCATGACAATACGTTTTATAACACCAAGTTACTGATGCGTTTTCGTATCACCAATGCACAACCGACTTGTAAATTACAACTCATATATCTTCGTTTCAAGATTATAAGATATTATCGTCTCAGTATTACTCGTGATGAATTCCATGAAGTAATACTCTGAGCGTGGGTTTATCCAATACTCAAATCTCAATTTCTGAGTACTCATGAACATTGCAGCAATTCTATTGCCATGTCTATCCTTAGACAATCTGCAATCCAATTCATGACAGTCTTAATTCACTACTTACTTCCAAGAGTACGAGCGACTGTGGAGTTTGAATAATCTCATTATTCAGGAAGTAAAACATGCAAAATATGAAACACAATAATAAACAATTGACAAAAGGTAGTAGCCAAACTTATAAATAATACTTTATTATTTAATCACCAAAAGTCAATTACATTTACTTTGTTACAAGTTTCAAAAACTAATCTAACTACTAAAACTAATATCATCTTTCAGTCCTATGCTCCGAGCATGCTGAATATGCTTAGCCCTACTCAGACCCTTTGTGAGGGGATCTGCTGGGTTATCTTCAGATGACACCCTCTTTACTATAAGATGGCCTTCTTCAACTCTATGTCTAATGAAATGGTACTTTCTGTCGATATGTCTGGTCTTACCATGATCTCTCGGTTCCTTTGTCAAGGCAACCGCTCCTTCATTATCGCAGAAGAGTTCCATAGGCTCCTGGATGGTTGGAACAACTCCGAGATCCCCGATGAAGTTCCTCAACCAAGCTGCTTCTTTCGACGCTTCACTTGCTGCAATGTACTCTGATTCACAAGTAGAATCAGCCACCGTATTTTGCTTGGAACTCTTCCAAGTAACTGCTCCTCCATTCAGTAAAAACACCCAGCCCGACTGAGAACGGAAGTTATCTCTATCCGTCTGAAAGCTGGCATCACTGTAACCATCTACTCTCAAAGTATCACTGCCACCAAGCACAAGGACCCAGTCCTTTGTCCTTCGCAAATACTTGAGTATATTCTTAACTGCTATCCAATGAGCTCTACCTGGGTTTCCCTGATAGCGACTGACCATGCTCAAAGCAAATGCCACATCAGGGCGAGTACATGTCATAGCGTACATGATCGATCCGACAGCGGAAGCATAAGGTACACGACTCATGTCATCTATTTCAACATCTGTACTCGGGCATTGAGTCTTACTCAATTTGGTATTGCTCTGGATAGGTAGCTCTCCCTTCTTGGAATTTTCCATACTAAACCTCTTTAGTACCTTATCCAAGTATGTGCTCTGACTAAGTCCAATTAGTCTCTTCTTTCTATCTCTCAATATTCTAATCCCAAGAATATAGGCAGCTTCTCCAAGGTCTTTCATTGCAAAACACTTTCCAAGCCAAGACTTAACCTCTTTCAAGGTTGGAACGTCGTTACCAATGAGTAATATGTCATCGACATATAACACCAGAAAAGTTACTATACTCCCACTAGCCTTGATATACACACAAAACTCATCTTCACTTCTAGAGAAACCAAACTCTTTGACTTTCTCATGGAAGCAAAGATTCC